TCATGTGTATACTAGATGTGTAAGCTTCTTAATAAGAATCCCTGAGGCATGAATGTCTATCCACTCTTACGGTAAAAAGGAATAAGGAGGGAGACACAAGATTCAGCAAGTAAAAGAAGCAAGGTGAAGAAGGGTATGAGGCAGCCAGCTAATGAAGATTGTCAGTATTACAGTTCCGGCAGAAAAAATATAAGCATTGTGAGTTACCCTTAACAATAATAGAGGTATGTATAATTGGTCACACCCATCTCAGTTATACCATATTGGGGGCTAATAGGTTTAGATTATGAAGAGGACGGGATATCACAATACGGATGGGGTTGGAGTGGCCCAAAATAGTGAATGGATTGTTTGCTTTAGTTGACATTTCCGAAGGATATTGCAAATGCGCTAATAGATCTCCTCGTGAGACACTTAGATGGTGCACCCTGAAATAGTAAAGCTAGATATGAGTGATGGAAGCATTGAAGGAATAAATATTACCTTAGTGTGGCTCCTATCCCCAATAAAGAATGAATGTTAGGCAATTCGAAGAGACAAGGGATGGAGCAAGGGATCCAAAAGCGAAAGAATATTTTGTTCGAGTTTTCAGAGTAAAGCAGTAGATATAGATAATTAGAGGGAGATAAGAAGAGAGTTAATGAAGCATATGAGTAAGATGTGATACATGGATGACAACGGTAGTTCAAAAAAATGATGACAGTATTACAGAGTCTACAGTCAAGTGAAGTTAGAAAGTGGTTCTAGTAACTATGGAATGATAAAGGAAGAATGCGATAAAAATGAGAAGGGATGAGATGATCAAATGTTACAGACAAATCAGCAGATCATGCAAGATAAATATAGTAAGCCCCAACATGGAGAATTCAGCATCGCAGTAATGTTATTATAATACTTGAGATATATTCAAATAGGAGCCGGGGTAGTTAAAGGTACAGTATGAGTGTTACAAGGATAAAAGAAAGTGCCACTGGGAAGACAATCAAAATGTAAGTTCAGAAGCAACCCTACAAGCACAAGGGCATGTCACATCTCCTTTTTACCCGTAGGGGATATAAGGGAGTTTTTCCAATTAAAGTAACAATAATCGAAATGGGATTATTTATTATTCAGAGTCACCACTTGGAATAATTTCTGGTATCCCAAGTCACCGGTTGATTTTAAATCCCAAATAGAGGAAAATTGACTCTTATTATGGTCCGCGAACACAGAAGGTCGGGTAAGCAATCCTGTTAACACGAGAGAAGGTGTGAGGCACTTTCGAGTTCCGTGATTATAGCACGGTCGCTCAACTATTAATAATTGGTCTAATTATCTGATTTATAACATGTTTAAAACCTATTGAGCATTTTTACTTTTTAACCGCTTTTAATTATTTATGGAGTTTGTTTGAACAAGTCGTGATGTCGCGTACTTATTTATTTTTGTACACATTGTGAATCACGTCACCGGAACCGTATCCACAATCTACGACATGTTTAATTTTATTATTGTTCGAAGTTATGGTTGGGTCACATGAAATGTGCACCCGACTTGGGGATTACGAATCATGACTATGCCACGGGAACCGTACCCATAGTCATGATGATTTTATTAATCGTGCCTAAAGCAAGCAAAGATATTCATGAATTATTTATTTTCCTAAGAATTTGAGACTGGTTGTGAAGGTCTAAGAGTTATATAAATTATTGGAAAGAAATTGTGTGATTCAGTTATGGAGAAGAACATTTTGGACTCATATGTCCTACTTATTTTGGCCTAGATCTTTATATTCAAACTAATCTCACATGCCAAATCATTTTCACTAAGTCCACGCCTTATTTTCAACCTCTGTAAGCAGATACAATTCTAATTTTCATTAACAAATTTTAAATTGCTTTATCTCAATTTACCAAGGAGATAGTAGTATAATTTCATGTAGTCACTAAACATAATATAGGCATGAAAGGCATTAAAAGTAAAGAATAGACAGAACAAAACATAAAAAATAGAGACTGGATTATATACTAACTCAAACAACAAATAAAGTAAGGCAACAAATGATTAATAACAACGTGTAAATTAGAACGAAAGTAGAAAAGGAACAGAAATAACAAACCTTTTATATACATGAAGATTTATTGAATACAAACATATAAATTCGACGAGAGAATTAGAACAAACTAAACAAGGCACGGAGAACTCGCTGGCGATTTCGGGTGACAGAGCTTCGACGTGGTTAATGGAAAAAAATGAAACTGCTTTTGTGGTGCTTTCGGGGTTAGTTTTTAGCTGAAATTTGGGGCTTTTGGGGGCTATTTTTGAGTTGGGTTTGGGAGGTGTTTGTGGTGGATTTATTGCTGACTTTTTGGTGAGCTTTTGGAGATGTTTTCAATGGCCATTTTGCTGCATTTTTTTAGCTGTAAACAGTGGTATATCAGAGTGATTTTGGAGTTGTTTGATGGAGTTTAAGAATGGCTTAATGGAGGTTTCATGACTGTACTTTCATGGCTAAAAAGGGGGCTCTTTGGGGGTGTTTAAGGGTGGTTTAATGAAGGATTTTTGGAAGAAGATGAAATAAAAGAGAGGAGGTGTGGCTTTTTTTTTAAGATCTGTGTTTTCCCCAATTTGCTCTATCTTTTTCAATCCGTCTCTCTCTATTTTTTGTCCACTGTCGTCTCATTCATTTATATTAATTGTGAGCCTCGGTGAGTACTTGGGGAGGAAGAAAGAATACGAGTGGTCCCAAGGAATATTTTTGTGGTCCCCCTACTAAAATCACTATATTCATGTATGTATGGAATTGTAGTATGCATATGATAAGTTTGTTGGAGGAATTATGTAGAAGGGTTAGGTGTGAAAAGCTGATTGGAAGAAAAAAAAATATAGAAAGGAAAATAAAGAAGATAAGAGACTACGTGCATTATTTCATTTCTTGTTTCGGTTTTTCTTTTGCCGTTCTTTTGATTTCATTCTTCTCGTTTTTCCTTTCTTTTTTTTTCTTGATATTATTTTGTTTTCATGATAAAACAAAAGCTCAAAATACTAATATATATAGTCCTAAAAACGTGGAATCTTTTTAATTTTTTTAAAAAAAAAAAAACTAAAGTAGAAACTACAAGAGAGGGAAAAATGTGTAGTAAAAGTATTAAAAATAGCATTAAATCAAAGTTATGGCTGATAAAATGAAAACTTAGTACACTAAAATCATGCGACTTTTTTTTGTAATTTTTTTCAATTTTATCCAAAGTAAGATACACTCAAAATTGCTAGAGAAATACTACTTATCTAAAATAAAAGAAAAATAATAATTTTTGTAGTTTTTATTTTAAGATAAAATAAAGAAAAAGGGTCAAAAATAGGAAAAGTAACAATATTAGTGCTAAAAAAATATTTAAGTACTAAAGGTGTAAAAATCTCGGGGAGGATCAAAACTTACATGTCTACAGCTACCCCTCATTGACTGGAAACACGAAGAGTTTTCAAGCAAACAACGACGAGACATGTTTTTGAACTGACCCATATTCAAAAAGATAAAAACAAAGAAAGAGTGGGAGACCGAGTCCTGGTTTTGGACAGCCTACATATCCCGAGGTTATGAGGGAATCAGGTCACGTGTAGTTCAAAAGTGAATAAAGTGACGCAGTATGTGGAGAGGATGAGAGAGTCGAGTGAGGTTCCATCGAGGCCCCGGTCCGTAGTCCTGTTATTACATCAAAATCAAAATGAAAAAGAACCAAACAAACCCATCAACTATGAGTTACAAGATTTCTATCTATAAGTCTTCTGAAGCATAATCTTGAGTCTTGAATGGTTGTTCATGCAGACTTTGATTTGAACCTTGATGCTTTCTAGTTGCATGTATTGATTCATTCTTCCACCGCTTCTCCGGATCAAGACCTGACATGCAGTTCTCGAGACTTCAATATGTCTTGAGTAGTTCACATCTTTCATATGCTTATGCATTTTGGATTCACTTTTTTCCTTTTCTTTTATTCTGGATTGAGACTTCTTCTTTTGGTTATCTCGGATTGTCGACTCAAATTCTTGAGGCGAGCTTCTGTTACTTCTATCTTGAATTGAATTATGAAATGACTTCTCTCGTTCTCCAGGTAGGCGCCTGCTAATGACTTAAAATTAGAAATGAGTTCCTTGTTCTCCGGTTGGGCGCCTTCTACCGACTTAAAACTTGAAACTCTTGAAATAAATACCCTCGTTCTCAAGATGGGTGCCTGATACTACAGCAAAACAGACAAAACAAAGAAACTTTTCTGTCCAAGTTTGCACTAGGAAGATTTATGAGTTATTAGCAGAACGATAAATCACCTATGCTATCGATAAAGGATGCAATGATGAGAGTAAAAGTGAAGATTCGACTATGAAGTGCGTCTCCTATGAGTAAAACTAAGAAAATTTCGACTTGCAAATGTGTCTACTAAAAAACCTGAATGACCCTGACTATGAAGTGCGTCTCCTAGATTTAAGATTGAGCTTGCGAAAAACTATAAACTAAGCTTGACTAATGTAAAAAATGATCCTATTCTCCAAGAGAGACCTTTGATATCAAGAAAACTAAAGATTAACAACTTAAAACTAAAAACTAACCCTTTTTGTTTCTTTTCAAATCCAGACTTCCCTTTTTTAAAAAATTATTATCCTAGGAGAAAGTTTTAATTTTAGGAGAAATTTCATCAGCCTAGGTCTCTTTTCTTTTCTTTTCTTTTCTTTTTTTTGGTATCTTAAAAGAAAGATTCATCTGACTAAGATTTCCATTCTAGGAGAAAATTCATCAGACTAGGTTTCTTATCTTTTCTATACTAGGAGAAAGTTCATCAAACTAGGTCTTTCTGATTATCTTAGGAAAAAGATTCATCAGACTAATATTTCTTTTTTATCCTAGGAGAAAATTCATCAGACTAGGTTTCTTATATTAGGAGAAAGATTCATCAGACTAGGTTTTTTTTTGTTATCTTAGGAGAAAGATTCATCAGACTAAGATTTCTATCCTAGGAGAAAGTTCATCAGACTAGGTTTTCTATCATAGGAGAAAGTTCATCAGACTAGGTTTTCTATCATAGGAGAAAAAATATGAAGAGCAATGGCAACATTTATGCACATTAGCAAGACAAGTAAAGGGAAAGATTTGAGAAACATCCCCTTGTCAGCTCTTTTCTTCTCTTCTCTTTTTTTTCTTTTTTTTGAAACCACTTTCCTTGCACTACTTTGTTCCTGTTCAGCTGATGAAAATTTTGTCAGCTTTGAAAGCGGTGGTCGGTTTGTGGTCTTGAGTCTTGGGCAGCTAGGCTTTTGCTCAATCAGCTTGGGTTGGTTTCAAGAGACTTTTGTTCTGCAGCAACCCTAATAGTTTCACACCCAGTACTATTTGTATTTGTGGCTCAATCAGCCTTATCCCAACTGGAGATCTTTGTGGCTCAATCAACCTTGTTTTGACACGGAAAATGGATTATATACTAACTCAAACAACAAATAAAGTAAGGCAACAGAGGATTCATCACAACGTGTAAATTAGAACGAAAGTAGAAAAGGAACAGAGATAACAGACCTTTTATATACATGAAGATTTATTGAATACAAACATGTAAACTCAATGAGAGAATTTGAACAAACCGAACCAGACACAGAGAACTCGCCAGCGATCTCGGGTGATAGAGCTCCAGCGTGATTAATGGAAAAAATTGAAACTGCTTTTGTGGTTCTTTTCGGGTCAGCTTTTGGCTAACATTTAGGGCTTTGGGGGGCTGTTTTCGAGCTGGGTGTGGGAGGTGTTTGTGGTAGCTTTATTGCTGACTTTTGGTGAGCTTTTGGAGTTGTTTTCAATGGACATTTTGCTGCATTTTTCAGCTGTAAACAGAGGTGTTTCATAGTAATTTTGGAGTTACTTAATGGAGTTTAAGAGTGGCTTAATGGAGGTTTCATTGTTACCCTTTCATGGCTAAAAAAACAGGCTCTTTGGGGGTGTTTGAGGGTGGTTTAATGAAGCATTTTAGGAAGAATATAAAATATAAGAGAGGAGGTGTGGCTATTTTTTTAGATTTGTATTTTCCCCAATTTGCTCTATCTCCTCCTATCTGTCTCTCTCTATTTTTTGTCCATTGTCCTCTCATCCCCTTTATATTAATTGTGAGCCTAGGTGAGTGCTTGGGGAGGAAGAAAGAATATGAGTGGTCTGTAAGGAATATTTTTGTGGTCCTCCCCTATTAAAATCAATGTATTAATGTATGTATGGAATTGTAGTGTGCATGTAATAAGTTTGTTGGAGGAATTACATAGGAGGGTGAGGTGTGAAAAGATGATTGGAAGAAAAAAAAGAAATATAAAAGGAAAATAAAGAAGATAAAAGACTACGTCCACTATTTCATTTCTTGTTTCGGTTTTGCTTTTGTCGTTCTTTTGATTTCATTCTTCTCATTTTTCCTTTCTTTTTTTTCTTGTTAATTTTTGTTTTCTTGATAAAACAAAAGCTCAAAATACTAATATATATATATATAGTCCTAAAAATGTGGAATCTTTTTAATTTTTTTTTAAAAAAAAAAACTAAAGTAGAAACTACAAGAGAGGAAAAAAACGTGTAGTAAAAGTATTGAAAATTGAATTAAATCAAAGTTATGGCTGATAAAATAAAAACTTAGTACACTAAAATCATGTGACTTTTTTTGTACTTTTTTTCAATTTTATCCAAAGTAAGATACACTCAAAATTTCTAGAGAAATACTACTTAGCTAAAATAAAAGAAAAATAATATTTTTTGTAGTTTTCATTTTAAGAGAAAATAAAGCAAAAAGGTCAAATATAGGCAAAGTAACTGTTTACCGTGAAAATGGTAACAACAATTAAATTTGTAAATGGTATTCTAAAAATACATGATATATACCCGAGCTAGTAGTTAGAGCAGTTGATACTAAGAACGTGAAGCTTAACGATAAAATGCGAGCTAAAACAAGACAGTAATCAAACCGAAGGGACCTGTTGCCCGGATGCAAAGCCGGTCGATAAGGACCTCGGGGTCGGAACTCGAATCAAGCTCGAGCTATCGGGGGCAACCGGGAATAGGATAACAATTAAGCATACGATCAAGCAAGGCTCTTTACGGCCAAAGTTGTGCAATATAGCATGAAATAAGTAAGAAGACAATAGATGTTAAAGCGGCCTCGAGCCAGTGAGAACGAACAAAATATGAGAAAGAGAGAGAGATATTATTGCTTTGGTGGAGAAATGGAGCAATTTTAGCCTCTTACAAAGTGGTATGGGTTCCCCTTATATAGGCAAGGGAATGCGGTATGGTACATAGTGCATTAAATGTAAATATACGGGAATGGGACGGCTAGACATGACACATGAGCCTATTGATTCTAGCTGCTTGCCTCGGGAGTTCCCCGTCTTCATAACCTTTGATGTGTCGCAGACAGATGCCTTAACCTCGGAGCCTCTACAGGGCCACAGATGTTCCTCGAGATAAGGAGCCTGATCATGATCCCACAACCTTGAGGAGCTAACATGACATTCTGAATATACCTTAATGGCGGGAAATGGATTCCCCTGATTTCACCGCATACAGTAACAATATTAGAGTTAAGAAAATATTTAAGTACTAAAGGTGTAAAAATCTCGGGGAGGGTCAAAAATTACATGTCTACAATTGCCCCTCTTTGAGTGGAAACACGAACAGTTTTCAGACAAAGACCGACGAGACATGTTTTTGGCCCGACCCATATTCAAAAAGATCAAAAAATAAAGAAAGAGTGTGCGACCGGGTCCTGGTTTTGGACAGCCTACATATCCGGGGTTATAAGGGAATCAGGACACGTGTAGTTCAAAAGTGAATGGAGTGATGCAGTATGTGGAGAGAATGAGAGAGTCGAGTGAGGTTCCGTAAAGTCCCCGGTACGTGGTCCTTTTATTATATCAAAATCAAAATGAAAAAGAACTAAACAAACCTATCAACTATGAGTCACAAGATTTCTATCTATAAGTCTTCTGGAACTTAATCTTGAGTCTTAAATGGTCCTTCATGCAGACTTTGATTTGAACCTTGATGCTTTCTAGCTGCAGGTATTGATTCATTCTTCCACGGCTTCTCTGGATCAAGACCGGACATGCAGTGCTCGTGACTTTAGCATGTCTTGAGTAGTTCACATCTTTTATCTACTTCTGCATTTTGGATTCACTTTTTTTCCTTTTCTTTTATTCTGGATTGAGACTTCTTCTTTTGGTTATCTCGGATTGTCGACTCACATTCTTGAAGCGAGCTTTTGTTAGTTCTATCTTGAATTAAATTCTAAAACTAGAAATGAATTCCCTTGTTCTCCAGGTGTGCGTCTGCAACTGAGTTAAGACTTGAATGAATTCCCTTGTTCTCCAGGTGGGCACCTGCTATTAACCTAACAACTTGAAATGAATTCCCCCGTTCTATAGGTGAGCGCCTGCTACCGACTTAAAACTTGAAACTCTTGAAATAAATACCCTCGTTCTCCAGATGGGCGCCTGATACTACAGCAAAACAGACAAAACAAAGAAACTTTTCTGCCCCAGTTAGCACTAGGAAGATTTGTGAGTTATTAGCAGAACTATAAATCACCTACGTTATCGATAAAGGATGCAATGATGAGAGTAAAATTGAAGATTCGACTAGGAAGTGTGTCTCCTATGAGTAAAACCAAGAAAATTTTGACTTGCAAATGCGTCTACTAAAAAAACTGAATGACCCAGACTAGGAAGTGCGTCTCCTAGATTTAAGATTGAGCTTGTGAAAAATTATAAACTAAGTTTAACTAAAGTAAAAATTGACCCTATTCTCAAGGCGGGACCCCTGATTTCAAGAAAACTAAAGATTAATAACTTAAAACTAAAAATTGACCCTTTTTTTCTTTTCGAATCCAAAAATTCCTTTTTTTTAAAAAAAAATTATTGTCCTAGGAGAATGTTTTAATCATAGGAGAAAGATTCATCAGACTAAGAATTTGATCCTAGGAGAAAGTTCATTAGACTAGGTCTCTTTTCTTTTTTTTTGGTATTTTAGGAGAAAGATTCACCGGACTAAGATTTCTATCCTATGAGAAAATTCATCAAACTAGGTTTCTTATCTTAGGAGAAAGTTTCATCAGACTAAGATTTCTTATCCTAGGGAAAGTTCATCAGACTAAGGCGATTATCATAGGAGAAAGATTCATCAGACTAGGTTTTTTTTTGTTATATTAGGAGAAAGATTCATCAGACTAAAAATTTTATCCTAGGAGAAAGTTCATCAGACTAGGTCTTCTATCTTAGGAGAAAAAATGTGAAGAGCAATGGCAACATTTTATGCATATTAGCAAGACAAATAAAGGTAGAGATTTGAGAAACTTCCCTTTGTCGGCTCTTCTCTTCTCTTCTATTTTTTCACTTTTTTTTAAACAACTTTCCTTGCACTGCTTTGTTCCTGTTCAACCGAAGAAAATTTTGTCAGTTTTGAAAGTAATGGTCGGTTTATGGCCTTGAGTCTTGGGCAGCTTGGCTTTTTCTCAATGGTCTTGGGTCGATTTCAAGAGACTTTTGTTCTGCAGAAACCCTGATTGTTTCACATCCAGTACTATTTGTATTTGTGGCTCAATCAGCCTTATCCCTACTGGGGATATTTGCTTAGGATGACCTTTTCTGATATCTTGAATGACTTCCTGCTTTTTGAGCAATTTGTCTGTCAGAGGGAATCACAAGTTATCTTTGCTTGCGCCAAGTAGGCTGACAAGAGTCTTGGGGGAGCTTTTGCATGAATCTTCAAGGCAAGTTGACTGTAACTACTGAGTGTGCTGGATAAATTTACTTTATGTAACTGAAAAGGTGGTAGCAGATTTTGAAATCTTTTCTCGCTTATTTTGACACGGACTGACTCAGAGTGAAGGAAGTAATGATACAAAATAATAATATTAACAAGAAATGCCAATGTCGGGAAGAACAGAAGGAAGGTTATTTTTTTATTTTCTTTTAAATAATTAGTCTTAATGATCATGACATGCATTTTGGACATAACAACCTGATCTATCAAACTGATCCAATCTTCCTTTTTACCATTCTTATGACCTTTGAAGTTGGGCTTGTTCGTGACGATTCTTTGCATCTGCTTCACAACCCACTTTCGACTAGTGGTGCCCCGATGGGTTTTCACAAACAAGTCTCTCTCATTTATTTTCTCTGTTTACCGTCGCCTTACTGTGCCCGTGAAGGTTTTTACTTGCAAGACTCTCTCATTTTTTCTTTCCCTTTTTTTTCTATGGGCAACTTGACAGTGTTCTATGTTGTGTGACAACCATTACTCATTGCATACTTCTCTTGGAATTCTTGAAAGCTTATTAAGAGGTCTTGATTTGGAAGGTTTTTGGATAAGGTTGGAAAGAAAGGACGTCATGAAGGCTCAAAATAGACTCAAAGTAAAGGGGGTTGTAGACTTACAACTCTTGGAATCGACTTTTTCAAAAGTGAAATAAATTTTACCCCAGTTTCAGCTATTGGGGATTTTTTTCTTTTTTTCTTTTTATTTTTTGAATTCTTATTTGGTTGGATCGAACCGTGAGGCTGCCTACGTATCCTTTTTTTTAAAAGGAATCATTTCAAACGTAGTTCAAAAATCTGACCTAACTATTTTTTCATCTTTCTTTCTGTATCTCTTTTTTTCTTTCTTCTTTTTTTTTCAAGTTGTCTCAGCTTCTGTTTTCTGGGGGCATGGACCTTTGACTATTTTCTTTTCTTTTTTTTCACAAGAACTTTCTAAGAGTTTTCCCAGTTTGTACTCTTGGGGCATGGACTTTTTTTTCATCATTTTTTTATTTTAATTTTTTATTGAACTTTTAACTCTAAACTTGATTCCAAAAGAGGGTGGTCAAAGAAAATAACACAAGATCAAAAAAGGTAACAAATGCTATAAAGTGTTTGGGTAGTAGAAAAAGGGCCACCTATCCTCAAGAACGTCAATCATGGTATCCTCTTGCGATCACAGTATTGATGAAAATGACTATCTTCTTGGTGTGTCGTGGTCGAAAGACAACTTTTATCCATTAATGTCAAACTTCCGACCAAGCTTCAATTGATTCAATATCCTCAAGCCCGATCTTCA